TCCAATGAGGAGGCGCCACTTGTACATTATGTCACCCCTTGTGTAAGGGGTGATATACCCATAGCAAGACTCCAAATTGTTTGGTTCAGGATTTATTCCCCCGTTTTAGGCCTTATTACTTGGATAGGTTTAAAGGTGTCTGAGTCAAAGAAAAAGTGGGTGCCAATGACTTTTATAGAATATGGATCTCTAGAATTCATTAGTGCTATGTTCCTCTTCCATCCCATTTTGTAATAATTAATATTTTTGCAGAAGGCCTGTTTTCTTTTTCCTTTTCTTTTTTTTACCATAAAATGAGAGAAGATGGTAAATTCAAACTTTGATGTTGGATAAACCATTTCTTCTGTTGCTTCTTGCTTTTGGCTGGTGTATTATGTCTATGGCTTTATGCTTCTGGTTTTCCTAATTCTTGTCATTGTTACTGTCTCCATCACAATTGTGGGAACATATTTCCTGCTAAATTCTGAGAATTATCAATGGCAATGGACTTCCTTCTTCTTAGCATTCTCAACGGCCTTTTATGTGTACTTGTACTCAAATGTATTACTACTACGTGAAGACGAAGATGTCAGGGTTCTTCCAGACTAGCTTCTACTTTGGATAGACACTGATGTTTGGTCTTGGTCTTGGAATCCTCTGCGGTGAGCATAAACTGTGACCGCTTGATTTATTGAAGTTACTTTTGCTGGCTCCTCTTGCTTTTCTTTTAAATCGAAAATGTCTTGTGCATCTAAAAACAAATAGGAAACATCGATGGAAGCCTTTTGAGTGGTTCCTCACCAGTTAATATAGCATTGTAGGCAGAGGCGGACCCAGAATCGAAGTTCAGCTGGGGCGGAGTTTGAGTGTTGATAGTTGACCGTTGACAATCAACGATCGTAATAGCCCGATCGTTTATTAAAATTTGATTAAATAATACTAAAGATTGATTAAAAACACAGTGTACACATGGTTCAATTGAGCCCAACATCTTCTCCATTAACTTTTTTCATTTATTCCTAATTTCCTAAACCTAAATTCTCAAACCACAAATCAAAACTTATAAATCCCAATTTATAACTCATAACTCATACAACATAAATTATTAATCATAAATCACAAATTCACAATTCTGATTTAACTCATCCCTAATTTGCATACAATTGAGATTCGAGAAGGAAAAGGGCGCTCACCAGTCAAAGCCACAGGAGGAGGAGGTTCGTCCGATCTGAGTCTGTCGCCGACGACCAACTTCGTAAATCGAGCTAGGACAGGTGGGAAATGGAGCTTTAGTGCTTCTCCAGGTTTTCCTCATCTCTGGCTCTCTCTCGCTGGCAGTGCTTCACTATTTCCTCCTGTAACATACATATATATCCATTGTCCATGGATTGGATTGGATTGGATTTGGGGCCCAAAGGCCCCAAACAATGGCAAAACTAAAAAAAAGTCGAGTCATCTTCTTCGGCTTCCTTCTGGTTTCCCGTCTTGCACACAGTAGCGATGGATCCATTCTACGCAAGTGGCGTGCTCGGCGGTTTGAAGGCTCCGACAGATCTAGCACGGGCGACCGCGGGAGATCGCCGATGCTGAGTCCACCACTGAATGTAGGATGAAAAATGGTGCGGGGGAAAAGTCCTGCCTCTCTTTAGTTCAAAGGGATGAATATGTGGTTAAAAAGTAAGGAACATATTTGAGTTTACGTACAAAATATTTTATTGTGAGGATGTGTGGTTGAAAATGAGTTTTAGAAAAAGAGTTTCTGGAGAATGGTAGTCAAATAAGGGCCAAGTTTATTAAGCAAATGCTACAGTAGCCTCAGATGTTTTAGGTTCATATTCAAATCACTTCTCTTTGCTCTAGAATACTTGACATGGTGAAGTACTTTAAGGCCCCTGTTTGATAGTATTTCTTTTCAATGAAACTAGGAATTAGTTTTCCATTTTTCACATTTTTGCTTGTTTGATAAGCAAAATTTTCTTGGCAAATGATTTTCCACCCAACCCCTTTTTTGTGGTCATTTTTCTTGGTTTTTGAGGAAAAACTGGTGGGAAAAGCTTTTTCTAGGCAATTTTTTCCCTCTTTTTTTTTTCAATTTTTTAAATTTTTTTGACAATATAACAAATTATATCCATTTAATGGATAATTTTCATGAAAAATAAAGCTAAACGAATATCAAAAGATCCAAAATTTCAATATTTTTTAGGTAGAAAATTATACAAATTAAACACAATTAATTGACAATTTCCAGTAAAACAAGTTCTAGGCAATTCAATTCCTTGAAATTCATTTTCTTTTCACCCAAATTCCATTTTTGCAATCAAACGGACCCTAAATATATAATTCAGTCATTTTTTTTACATCAATTTTCCTACTTTTTTCTATTTTTGATCTCTGTGGGTTTAACATAAGTTTCCCCTTCCAGACCAAGGAGAAAAGCTGATCTTTTTCCGCGGAGGACAAAAATTGGTCCCATCTCTTTTTTCTCTTCCTCATATAAGACATGTCCCTATGCACTTGGTGTTGGTGAATGTTGCTCAGCTGTAAGATGTTTTTAAGTGTGTTCTCACGTGGTGGAGTCAAAGAATAGCTAACCTATTATGGTCAAAAGCTCGTAGTTAGTATTTGTGTTTATGTAACCTCTCATTGCCTTCTCATTACTAAGCTGTTTTCCACAGAGGTTCGATAATGCAGTAGTTAATTCTTACCAACTTCCTTTTGATTTGTGTTTCTCCCTTTAAGCTGGCTACAAGGGCGTCCTTTGGATTACCTACCTGCGATATTACTGCATAAGTTCCTGATGAATTTGTTAATAATAAGTCATGCACAAGTTATTTACCAAACACTAACTTACCATGGCTTTTCTCACTGCTTTGTTCAGGCGCTATTGGTTACTTAGGCTCTAATTTATTTGTAAGGAGGATTTACCGAAACATCAAATGTGACTAGTTTTCAGTCAAGGAGACATAAATCAGTTTAGCATCTCGAAGAAGGCTCGTGGTTTCTCTTTTGGGTCCTGGGTAATGTTTACAATATGTACCTAGGGGCTGGGGATCGTGGGAGGACCTGAGATTTTCCGCGTACTCTGGGTTGCAAAACAAATCCTACTTACATAATTAAGAATGCCTTGATTGTTTTTATAGTTCAAAATCTTGCACAATATTAGCCTTAGTTGACAGCTATATTCTGTTTCTTTCTATTAGTTGGACAAAATTTGCTGGCAGTGTCAACTCTCTGGTTTTGTTGAGTTTTTGTTCAATTAGAGAAGGGACTATTTGATAAGAGAATTATGTTGCTGTGACTTGGGTGTGATGGCTATAATGTTCTAGCATTTGCAATTCGATGTTTGACATGTTTGTTACACTAGATTGAATAGTATTAAGATCCTGTTTGACAAAGCTTCTTGAGATTATAAGCTGGTGGTTCCCATGATATGTGAAAAATGAATAAAAATGTGGGTCCAATATAATGTACAATTAAAAATGAAGTTTGACCAGCTTAAAATCTAATAAAAGCTTTACCAAACAAGAGCTAAATATGATTCAAGAAGAAAAATAAGTTAAAATATTGTCTATTATCTTGTGTAACGAAGTGCCACTAATAGACACATTATCTGTATGTCTTCAAGATGTTTCAATTTTGCTTCTGTATCTTACTTGGTTTTTGCTACTTCATTTTGTGGGTGTTACTAGGAATAGAAACACCCCCCCCCCCACCCACCTACCCTATCCCAATGGAAGGCTGAAAATTGTTAACACATTTCAATCTTGATTGTAATAGGAACAAGAATAACCTATCCCTCCACCACCTACCCCACTTTGAATGGAAGGCAGGGATAGAAGGATTGTGGCAACCACATTCACCAGAAAAAAACTAGTGAACTACCCATGATTGATGATAAAAAGATAAACCTAGTCACAAAATGTTGACACGTGGAGGATAGAAATCCATACAAACCCTCTAAAATCCTCCCATTTCCTTATCCCCTCCCTTCATTTGCAACACTAGTAGTAAGTAGTGACCAATTCTTTCCTCTCACATTCTTCCACCACCACAAATGGCTAGTCTCTCTACCGCCATGGTCAGCACCGCCTTGCTTCCGAGGAAGCCGGCCACCGTGACTAGCCTACGTTCACTTCCAAACTTTGGACAGCAAGCCCTTTTTGGACTCAAATCTGGTGGCAATGGGAAAGTAACCTGCATGGCTGTATACAAAGTGAAAATCATCACCCCAACTGGTGAACAAGAATTCGAATGCCCTGATGACACTTACATTCTCGATCACGCTGAAAATGAAGGCCACGATCTGCCCTATTCTTGCAGGGCAGGTTCTTGCTCTTCCTGTGCAGGTAAACTTGTTTCAGGAACCGTTGATCAATCTGATCAAAGTTTTCTTGATGATGATCAAATTGAACAAGGGTGGGTCCTAACATGTGCTGCATATCCAACGTCTGATATTGTCATTGAAACCCACAAGGAAGAGGAACTCACTGCTTGAACACAGTAATTGGCTGTTGAATGCTGGGATTATTTGCTATACTCTTTTGATTATTGTGTTTCTGAACCAGTACTTATTTTTATGTGTAATTTTTCTTAAGTTTGGTTAATGTCATGAGTTATTGTACCATCTTGAGATTCGATAAACTGATAAATGCTATGGCATAGTTTCGTAGTTCAATTGTACTTTGACTCTATCGAATTCGACGTTTCAAATATACTCATAATGCGTAATCATCGTCTCCACAGCAATTCGATTAAATTTTAATGATGTTAATAGACAAATAAAGGATAGGGTTGCCTTCAATTTCCACTTTTATAAGCCTACAAGGATTATCTAGGAATTCAGGCTAAGAGTGTGTTTGGTAGGAATTTTTGGGGGAAGAATTGATTTTTGAATAGTGATATGATAGAAAATGTGTGGTTGAAAAAGAAGAAAAAAGTATTGATGTGATGAAAAATATTATTTTATTGAAAAATGTGTGGTTAAAAATGAGAATTGATTTACTGTAGAAAATGAAAATCTGTACCAAACAGGCTCTAAAACCTCTCCCTACAATTTTTTTCTAAAAAATATTCATTGTAAAATTCATCACAAACTCTTTGCTAATTTGGAATTCTTCAACAATATTTTAGAAACTATTATTAGTTAAATTTTAGGAAAATATAATATTAAATTTAAAATATGTCATATAGATATATTTTCACGCGATTGGCTGAGTAGAAAACTAAAAACGTTCAAGTTTTTGTCGTAGCAAACTTGTTAATTCGACTAATTTTTTAATATTCAAATTTTTATTTATATAAATTCAACAAATTAAATTTGTTAATATGATCTGATTTTCTGTTATGATAAATTGACGAAACAATAAGCGATCCAATAATTGCTTCAGTTGCTGCAATAGCTATAACAAAAATGTAGAAAATATCTCCTCTTAGTTGA